CTTGTTAAAAATCGAGGCAGAATCCACAGATGGCGTGGATGGGGTTGAATGTATTGGAATAAAAGGGAAGGAAAAAGGGAATGCCTAATAATTTATCAACGCAGTTCATGAATCGAAGAGTGTACCCTCTAAGATATTGGCTGTGCGCACACACATACGGAACCACCCTAAAATAGTAAAATCGAACCATCAAAGTTCTGTGAATAAAAAGATCTCAAAAACATGATAGTTGTATTTTTTTCTGAATTGTATCTTAAGTTTGATATCTGCTGCCAGAACGTCATTACTACCAGTAGCATCTACCCAACAGACGACACGCGACAAACAGAAATAAATCACACCGAAGAAAGTTGTGGAGGCTCCTGCGAAGCATAGGACTTTTTAAATTCTTTTATTAGTATAATGTATTCGTAAACATTTCTACCTGAAAGGCTTGAAAACCTGAAAAGAGTTCCTAGAGGTCGAATGTTAGCGCTTATGGCAAAGCCATCTACATAAGTGTAAGGTAAAAAAAAAAGTCATTGTCTTAAGCTTAATTACTCATGTACGTTATGTAACATGAGGATTTCTGTAACAATGTTACAGTAAAGTAAGAGAAGCACAAATTACTTTCATTTTAATAGCATTGCCTCCTTTCTTCGTTTTCATGTGAACTTGATTCATTTTACACAATAAGCTGATCAAGAATCCATAGAAATATCATATTCAAAAGTAAATTTCTAAAACCTCCTATGATTTTTTGACATCTAAATATATATGCACAGGTCAAAATATAGCAATACACACAGTAATCCTCACTACATCAATATAAATATACCAAAAGCAGAACAACAAAAATCAAAGGGACTAAATCCCGAAGTGTTTACGCATAAAGTTGAGGAATACAAGATATAGAAATAAGAATTAAAAAGAAACATCCCGTAAAAGGGGAAGGAGGGAACGAAAATAAAAAATACAAAATTAACTTCGGCACTTGCCGTCAAATTACGGCAAATCTTGACATCATCCGACGGACTTTTATAGAAAAAAAAACAATGAGCAATTTTTGTGCGAACTTATTATTTGGCATTTTCATTATTTTTACCCCAGCCTAATGTTTATTAATTCAATGGCAAAAGATAAATATCCTCAAAAAAGAGCACCATTTAAATATTTTGACCTATTGCACTTTCTAGAAAAAGTAAAAGCAAAAACACGATATATTCCTAGCTTTTATTTTTTTTCACCTTATGACTCGTCGCTAAGTTTTGCACAATTCTTAAAAATATTCCTTATGTTTCTCACATTTTGTGTATCCACATAACTTGATTCCGTGAGATACAGCACGATATGTATCTATAACTTTACCAGAAAGGGGCTTTTTGCTGACATAATCTGGTTCAAAAACGTATTTTTCCCCTAAAAAGAGAGAAATCTTTACAGTAAAAGGTCTGCGAAGGGGTCTTTTTTAACCTTTTGTGTTGAATTGTTTGGTTCTTTGCTTGTTTTATCCATCGGCTGCTGCTGCTGGTGATATTGATCAGAAGGAAGTGAAAGAAAATCGATACTAATCTGGGGCATCGCTGGCGACGCAGATCGGGGATATGCGGGCTGCGGTGGTGGATAAAATTCACCGTCAAACGCATCGAAGCCTCCCAGGGCAGGCGTATTATTATAGTCCGTACCGTTCTCTTCCTTCTGCTTCTCTTGGTTGGTTAGGTTCTGCACCCCTTGAGGCTGCGCAGCGATGTTGTAGTAGCCGTACCCCCCCCCATTATGATTATTGTTTACCGGATGGTTATCACTCATATTCCCCCAGACAGTCTGTGGCTGTGAGAACAATGAATCCACCACCTGTGGAAGAGGAGGAGGAGCACTGAAGATTCCATCACTGCCAAAAGGATCTATTGGCTTCGATACCGAGGAAGGGTGAACTGGTGGAGGGCGGGGCGCCGGTGCCTGTGGATTCCCCAGCCCCTTTTCAACCGGTCCCACAAACAGATCATCAAAGTCGTCTGTCGCTGACGTTTCCGGAGCGGGGGAGGGGGCGGCGCCCTTCGCTCGCTCCCACGCCTCCTCCTGCTCTTTAATAATCATCTTTCGATATTCCTCTCGGTCCTCGCTGCTGAGGTTAGCACCAGCGGTCTGATCGCCCATCACGAGCATCACCTCTTGCACGGCGTCATCGAACTCGCTCGGAGGGAGGGTTGGTTCCCCCGCGGTGGGCCCTCCCGCCTCGTCGTACGCACGTGAAGGTCGTTTAGCCAAAGCAGGGCGATCCACCACCTTCACCTCCTGTTCCTCCCAGCCCTCTGGGTATTCGGTGCGGGTGAAGCAAAAGGTCCCGAGATGGCGGTTGAGATCCTCGTCAAAGCGGAGGAAGTTCGTCAGGGCGAAGACATCCCACCGGTCCTCCGGATTCGCCTCAAGAAGGTGGGTCATAATGGTGCGGAGGGAGCCAGTGTAGGCGGTGGCCCCCATCGTCGTCGGGAAATAGGGCTTGGGATCCCGACTTAGGGCCATATTCGTCCCCTCGAAAGGAAGTTTGAGGTAGATGAGGTAATAGAGTAGCACCCCTACCATCCACATATCCGATTTCTGGCTAATCCGTCGTTTGCTCCACGGGTCTGCCATCTCGGGCGAGCGAAAGGTCACATTGGTGTGGCTTTCAATATCCTCAAGCGCCATCGCGGCCTCCGCTCGGTTCGCGCACTCATAGGCCTCCGTCGTGGCGCTCTCGAAGTTGGTGAGCATGTACGCTAAGGGGCCTGTCAGGTTGTTGTTAATAAGGATGTTCCCCGGGGTGATATTCCGATGCGCGATAGGCGGCTGAAGGGAGTGCAGGTAGCCTAGGGCGCTTGTGATGGCGAAAAGGATGTGGCAGATTTCGGCTTCGGAAAGCCGCGTTCCAGCGCCGTTGTTCGTCCCGCTGGAGATTCGTCTTGCCAAGTTGTTCTCACAGTATTCCATCGCGATCGTGACACTGATCTTCCCCTCACTACGCGAAATCTCATTGTGAAAGACTCGAACAATGTTTTTGTCCTTAATGCTCGATAGAATGCCTATTTCCTTGTGCGCATCGGTGATCTGGCTCACGCTATAGAAGACGCGCTTAAGGACTAAATAAATAGGGAACTCCGAGAGGCGGGAGCTGTTCTCGACAAGATAAACAAAGGAATTCCCATCGTTACGGTTCTTCGAGCGACGGCGCCCACATCCTGAGTTTGTAGAAGTTATCCTTCGTTCCACACGAAACGGACGCCCCATACAAATAATTGTTTGAGTACCATCCCCATGATGACGCTGGATTTTATTCTTTGACGAAAAGCCGTCAAGCTTACTACATCCACTTGAAAACATTTTTCGTTTAGTGAGTCCTATTTAAGTAACACTTCTTATCAATTTCACCAGAGCTTTAGAGATTTATTCAGCGTAGCTAATACTACTAATTTTCACGTTCGCTTATTGGTTCAAAAAAAAAGAAATCAGGAAACGATTAAAGTTATGGAAACCATACATTAACACTCCATCTTAGGAACGAAGGAGAAAGGCAACTCGATTATTCTAATCTGCACTCATTAGCTACGAAAAGTGTGCGAAATGGGTTCCCCAACCCCAAAGAGAATTCTTCCCTTTTTAACCACACAAAACATACCCGACATCTATCTTTATTTTTATGGCTGAAAAGAGGTAGCTTAGAAAATAAAGTTAGCGCCAAATGTTTCATAGCAACCACAGCGGCAAATTAAAGACAGTACAACAAATGAAATACCAATGAATGGTACATAGCCTAGAGTCAAAAGACTAGGCAACACCTATCAATTTTTAGTTATGAGTCCTCTATCCTTATCATTTCAACACAACACGCAGGATTAAAACTCAATGAGAACATAGACATCCTTATCCTAAACCTCTATAAACAACGATTGTTAGTAAAAGTGATGTCACCAATTACCATCCCACGACAAAAGAGTATGGTTGTGCGTGGGATGTGTGCTGATAGTGTGGAATAAGAGAAGCAGTTGCTTTCTGTGTCCCTTTACTATTCGCTAGCTACCCTGTTTCCCTCCTTTTTTTTCCCTGAGCGATGATTTCAGAAAAAAAAGGATTCCCGATCGGTGCGGTTTAGATACCCCACAGGGGACCTACACGCACTTTGGCCATTCCCCACCGCCGTTATTCCTCCTCCGACGGGTTCCAGCGGCGCAGGGGAGGTGGACCCCCTCCCGCCCCCCGCCCTCGCTCCCGCTCCCCCGCGTAGCGGAAGACGGGGCTGGTGCGAAGCCCGCTCAGGCCCCGGTCCGCGCTGGGCACCTCCTCGAGAACCGGCACCCCCGTCAGGAGGAGATGTTCCCACGAGGGCCCCGACGCTGAGACGGAGCGTCGCAGGGGGCCCTCGGCCTCAGTCTCAGTGTCAGGCCTGAGCCCAGTCCCGGTTTCCGTGTCAGCCCCGAGCCCAGTCCCGGTTTCCGTGTCAGCCCTGAGCCCAGTCCC